TCGAAAACTTGAGCTACCTCGACTAGTTATAAACAAACGCTGAAAAAATTCTCAATCGGTTACAATTATAATATGTGCTTCAAAATAATTGTACATGAAAACACATCATAGCTAAATTAAGGCCTAGCCAAAATGTTTTCATTATATTGAATATTATTAAATCAATATATATTCTGTTTAAGCACAATGCCATATAAGAAAACAATTATGGTAGGTGAGTATTTGAATAGTATAAGCCCTTGTTTGCTTCGCAGGATTAGGCAGGATATCCCGCCTTAATCATTTATACATATATTAAAAAAAAAAGATAATTAAGAAAAAAAAAACAACTAACCAATATTGTGAGGCACTTGCAGCCTGCTAGCAGATATATGCCTGGACTTGGGTTTATGAGGTTTAAGGGAATTTTAGCTATTTTGTTTTTTTTTTTTAAATAAAAATTGGGCAATGATTAAAAAAATAAGTCCACCATTAACAAGCTTGAATTGGAAGCTTTTCTCTTTAGCAGAGACAGAGTGAATAGGAGAAGGAAAAAAAGATATAGAGATAGAGATGTAGAGTGTGATAAGGAAGGAAGGGTTGAGATTTAACAGTCAGAAATTGCAATGGCATTTTATGGCAGCTTCTGGCCATAAGACAAAGATTATCAATATTTTCTTTTCTCATATCCTATATATTAGTTTCTAGCTAATAATATCCCTCCCTTTATATTGTATATTAATTCATAAAATGTTGAGTCAAAGTGGCAGATTCTCACGCTTCAGATGCTGATAAGGCAGAAATCTATATTCCCTAATGTTGTTTATCAATGATGCTCACCTACCCACGGTGGGCACATGTTAATATGTCCACCGTTTATGTGGCATTCACTCATTGGTGATGTATTCGTTTGAACATGTTAACATCACCAACTAGTACAACACCCGTGTATTACACGGGTGCTTGTTAAAAAATTATTCTTAAATTTTAAAATTAATGAGAAAACTATAATAAATTTAGTTTACTTTTTTTTACAAAAAAAAATATATTACTATATATTTTAGAATGATATGTGTTACTTATGACTTACATGTGTTATATTATATTAGTTTTTATAACTTATATCATATAACTACTTGAAATATAAATATATTAGTTGATAAATAATTTTATTTTTCTAATTAATATTAAAAGTAATTTTATTATTGTTATAAAGATAAATATAAATTATTTTTTTATACAATATGGATGTTAAATCGAAGCTCATCAAAAGAAGATTAATTTGATATATTACATATGTAAAACTGATAAAAAATACAAAAGTTACTAACTTTTAAAATATATATACAATTCAATAGTTATAATAAGGAATGATATTAAAATACAATTAATACATGTAACATGACCATAAATAATCAACATATTTATGGTAATCCAAATCTAATTATTTTTGATTTGGAATTAAATTAAAATTTACCCGAAGCATGTAATTTTGCCACATATGATTCCGAAGCACCAGAAGCAGCCACGTAGGCTCAGCGCATTCTGTATTAATATGTAGGGGGATGTGTGCATGCCACATAAGCGGTAGACATATTAAAATGTATCCACTGTGGATATGGGAACATTGTCCTGTTGTTTATATATTCATTTTTTATTTGGAGTTAGACTTGATACTAGACATGAATAAATATTTTCAAACTTGATAAGTATATATTTAATTTTGTTATTTTTTTATTTTACTACACGTTTTGTTCTTAATTTGAGCAAGTAGCAGTCATACCATATTATAATTTTCACTCATATTTCTTCCCTAAATTAGGATTTACAAATCACTTTATGCATTGTCTATTTTTTTTATTTTTTTTCATTGATTAGTCCATCAAATTTTTTAATTTAAAATTTATTTTAGCAAATAATTTTTATTATTACTTAACTCAACACTCGTGTAGTACACGGATATCGTGTTAATATTTAATATTTATGTTTTGTTGGTACATTACAAAGTTTCTATCCGCACATTCAAGTATAATAATTAAACAAAATCTCTGTTTTTCTAATTTCGTGTGACACAGACATGGACACATAAATAATATTGGTAAAAAAAATAAATAAATGGAGACTTTTGCGAAAATCATACTGTAGACAGAGGCCGCTTATAACCGTTCAGCAGTGCGCAGAGTTTGCGAATATATTTAAGGGACCACTTTCAGAGGGCCATCACAACTTGTTTATTTATTTATTTATTTATTATTTTTATTTTTTTGGGTTAATTAATCGTCTCTATATAGAGTAAATATAAAACATTTAAATGTATTTAAATGCACATTTTGAAGGCAAATGCTCAAACTATTGACGCAAATAGTGTTATCGTGTTTGTGTTTTTAGGTTATTTATTTACGATGGTGGTGGTGGTGATCAAGTGAAAAATGCACCTAAAAAATATGTTGTATGAGAATTTATGTCATCTAAGAAATAGACCAAGTCTAGAAAAATATATCCTCCAATACAAACAAAAGTAGACTGTGTGTTGCTGATGTGACAGCCAAAAAAAAGAGACACAGTCTACTCTTAAGTTTATTTTAGATCCAAGTAGAGACCTAGTCTCTTTGCATTGGAGTTGATTTTATTTACATGTCATTCAAGACTTAAGTTTATTTACATGTCACATTGGCAATACTGGACTCAATGCATTGTAGATGCTCTTACTATACATAATTGGGACTAGGATTTAGACCATGTGGCATGTATGTGGCATGTGGATCCCATGCGAAGATGCATATGTGGCTAGATAATTCAATCTCATAAAATAGGTGGGATATTTTTATCCCACTAATGAAATGACATTTTTGTCAAAAAATGTAATATTATTTAATTTAGATAATTATAATTAATTTGAAATATTATTATTTAATCAATAAAATATTAATTAAAAAATATTATTTCATTTAAACTAATTATATTTAATTTAAAAAATTTTAATTAGTTTATTTTATTTAAAGTAAAAAATATTATTTAATTTAAAATAATTTTATTTATGATACGTCAAATTGTCTCGAACAATGGACTTCTCCCAAACCGGTTTGTTCCTCCTTGATCGTCAATAACCTGCAAAACACGTTGGGGTGGTCCTGACATGAACACTCTGACGCTCAAGTTAATGGATATCCGAGAGAAACGAAAGAACAAAGAGGCAAAGCATTTATTGTGTATCGGTGTTTGTCTTGTAAGAGTAAAGAAACTTGCTCTCTTATGTAGACTCAAGTGGTTGAGCGTGACAAGACTTCTAATGTAGTCGAGAGTCCTCCCTGCATCTATATGCCATATCTTATCCAGGATCTCAGAATCCTTATTGTCTCTAACTCTCCGAATCACGAGGAATCAGACTCCCTCGGCCATACTGAACCACCACGTTATAATAGCCAACCACTCCGCAAATCAGCTCGACAATCCTCAGGCTAAGGATCTCGGCCGCCTGCTAGCTTGAGCTTCCCCGACGACGTTTTTATTTCACATTCCTCAACCATGACTGAGCTTAACCCCAAGCTCAGCACTATCTCCTTCCCTGTCGAGCTCTCCTCATGGCTGATGCACTGTAGCCTCTGGAGTTCCAAAGCCTCCGCTCCTACTGGTTGAGCTCGTCCTTCCTGCTCGGCTCAACAAGCAGACGAGTCCAACTTACCCCATCACCTTGTCTAGCCGAGCTCATCGCCAATGCCAAGTTGCGTCTTTGACTAGAGTCACTCCTTAGTCATGCCTTAGCTCGTAGACCCCCCATGCCTACAAGAGAGTGGCCGAGCTCATCCCTCCAGTATGGTCTTATCGAGCCATGATATTATGCCGCATCAATTTAATTTAAAAATATTATTTAAAAAAATTAATATTATTTAATATAAAATGATATTATATAATATATTAGCATTAATTAAATAATTTTATTCAATTTAAAAATATTAATTTAAAATAAAATAATATTATTTAATCTAACATAATTATTTTATAAAAAAATATTAATTTAAATAATCTTATTTTTTGAAATAATATTAATAGATTAATTAATTTTTATTACAAAAAAAATGTAATAATTTATTTATATTGTTTGTACTCATGAAATTATTGATTTGATATATAATGTAAAAAACTTTATAATAAATTTTAAAATTATTAATCTTTAAAATATTTTATAATTTATTCTTAAGGTCGAAAATATGGGGACAAAGTTGATGTTTTGTGTGTAGAAGATGAGGGTATATTTATTTTGTGCTATTTCTCATATCATTTGTTCAAGTTGGTAAATGCTTGATTGTTTTTGCCTTAAAATGCATTTAGAAAACATGATGCATTTACAAGCCAAAGAAGAAGCCCCATGGAGCGGAGCAGACTAAGGAATAGAAGCAAGAACCGCCACAACAACAAGAACTGAAACCAGTCGCGGAAGCAGCGCAAGGAAAGCAGCCCGATGGTCTTGGTGTGGTACCTGCTAAAGAGCCGATAAAGCATTTGGTCACACAGCGAAAGACCAATTATTAGTACTAATCAAAGTCTGTACCTCTTGTTCTTCGGGCTCTTAGAGAGTCCTAAATGCATCATGTTTTGTAAACATTATAGTAGAGTATCTATTTCTCCAGCAATTGGTCTGTCGGTTCATTGCTATTTGTGATGGAACACTCGGCTATGAAATCGGCGAGTACCATACGTAGTCCAAAAATCATTTCTTAATTATATATGTCTATTGACTAGGGTATATAGAATCAATCTATCTATTATATGGGTTCACTCGATGCCACCCGCGAGGGTGGCACCCGTTGGAGTGCACATATCCTTTTTAATGGTAATTTCCATATACTATTTTTACTATGCAATTGTTACTTGTAATTGTTTATTTTTTAACCTTTTTAATTTTGTTCACTTATCATGAT